TTGATTTCACTTTGCTTTTCAATCACTTTATTTAAATTGATCCTTTAAACCAATGTTTGCTCGCCTAAATGCGCACCTCAATGTGGTCAACTTCTGCTGCAGCTCAACCAGACGTCTGCGCTTGCACTTCAAAACTGTTCTGACTGTCCGGCAGAATCACTTTCATTTAAAGCGTGTTTGCGAAGGTTGTTACAGATTTCTGGCTGCGCCTCTGTTGCTATCACACGACGTCGCCTGTCCTGTCACAATTCTTGTTTCTGATAGCTTCAGGTTCCCTTCCAAGTATGGAATATTTCCTTTGTGTTTTGTTTTTTTTTTTTTTCAATTAGATTTTTATCACCGGTTTCAGAATTGACAAGTGAGAAATCTATAAAAACAAACCAAAGTAAACTACAGTAGTTTCAGAATAAAAGGGAGAGCTGCGATATAAGTATAGAAATACTTGGGGTTCAACCACAAAACAGTAAAATACCGGTAGGTGATCGAAAGGTATGCTTGTTTTAGTCCAAACCGCTGATGGATATACATACAAGTTATTTAATTTAATTCTTATTTATTTTATTCTTTTATTTCTTTTTTCAGACACTCACGAACTAGCTGACGAACTGTCTCACACTCTGTCGAAGTGACTAAGGTAGTTGGCACCTTTTGTTGATATTTTAACTAAATATATGAATCGGCTGACCAACAATCAGGCTAACGACCGAATGGAGGATCAAACAACTATTTAATAAGTGAACACATTGACTACTGGATGGGGACTGAAACTGAGCTGGTGTTTGGCGCGCTGTTAAACGTCGTCTCCGCTTTGTTATGCTTTATGCAGTTGACGGTGGCGTCATCAGCAGCAGCAAATTATCGGCTGATCTTTGCGCAACGATTAAGAACGAGAACGCAAACTTGCATATGCTCTGCTCACGGATGAAGTGTTACAACTTTTACATACATATGTATGCATGAATGTATGTACATACATACATATGTACATATATGTTGCGTGGCCGCCCACTAAGATTTGCAGCGCAGTCGCCTATCCGCCATGCGATGTTCTATGTTTCGTTGTAGGCGCAGCACAACAACACGATCGTATTCGCTTAAAGTTTAGTTTAGCTCGCTAAATTTTTTTTTTTTACAATTATGGGTATTCTCGAAATCTTGCAAAGCCGTTGCATGTAGCAAGGATTGCATGGATTGCATAACTTGCAAACACCCAACAACAAAATACATGAGAAGCAGCATTTCCAATTGCCACAAAGTATGCAACGTCTGAACCCATGAACATATTCTGCAAAAAAAGCGTAGCAAGATAAATGCGACTCTGTCCTAGCTGTTTTAGAATACATTTTTCACCCGTTTGTTGTAGTTTTAGTCAATGTCGTCTTGCTGGGTCGCATGATACAAAAAAGAAGGGAGTTTCATTGTCACTTTTCGGACGCCATATTAACTACCTGACAATTAAGCAGATTGTGACATTTCGTGCTGCCATACCTGCCTCCTCAATAATCAATTATATAATGTAAAAAAATTATTTACGAAATTAAAAGGAAATTTGTCTTCGATCTGAGAAATAACGAAAATTGGAATTCATATATCGCCATATTTGAAAAACAACCAACCAACCACCGCAAAAATTAGTTATTATTAAATTTGTTTGTTCTAAAGCCAAACAACGAAAAGCATTTGGATGTGCTTTGTAAACATTTGACCCGGTAAGACTTTAATATCGGTGCTTCATGATATGAAAGATAATATAGATAGTTATGGACGGTAGGAGGTACTCCCGATTGAACTGGCACCCAGTGTTTGGAAGTAAGTAGTTAGAAGGCAGCCCAATGCCTGGAAGGCCGAAGCATACTTCCCAAGAGAAAGTTAATCTTATCTCCATTAACTCCGATGGAGACCTCAGATCCTGACATAGGGTCAGGTTTAGAGCCATCAGTGAAGATTCGATTATGTGATTCAAATTTGATTATCGAACACATCAACCTGCTATTTTTTAATGTAAATTTTACTCTTTTATTAAAGCCGAAATATTTTAAAGAAAATCTCCCCTTTCAACAAATTTCAATTTGGCAAAGCTATGCTTAATGTTTACATCTGGAGAAATGTCAAAAATCTGCTTTATAATCAAAAAATAGCAGTAATTAAACTACCTTATTTTTTGTATCATGGCTGGGTAGGTTGCTCTTTGTTGCCTTTTTTGGGTTTCTTTACGAGGCCTGCCGACTTGGTTCAATATGGAACCTTACTGCCATCCCTAAATTGGCGCGTCAAGCGCCAAACAACTGTCAAAAATCCTCATGCCCATACAATTTGTATGAAGCATCCCACAATAACGCGGCGCTAACGCCGAGCAAATGGAATTTTCATTTTTGACAGGGCGTTACGTGTTGAAGTTGGATGCGGAAGACGGAAAGAAAGAGAAAGGACAAAAAAGTGAAAGAGGAAACGAGAATAAAAACGAGAGGACCTGAGAAAACGTCAAAAATTACGACGCGTTGATTTGGGGATAGCGCGCGCTGACACTCGTCGACAATGGATAACGCAACGCTTAGCGCTCCAATTTAGGGGCGGCAGTAAGCTAGCATAGCTAAGGATAGTTGGCAGCCCTGTTCCCTACCGAAATTCTTAGTATTACTTCCTTTTCTTTGGCTCTGCTTCCTAATTATAGGCGCTCGTTAGGTTAGTCTTTTATCAATTAGTATTAGGACAGGGTTTATAAGTGACACTGTACTGGAATCACAGTTTTTCTTTTTGTCAAACAAGGCACACGCACAGTGTGGCAGAGTCGCTAAAAGTTGATAAAAATATGTTTAACTTATAATGTAGTACCGTCAGTATGTTAAACTTAATTCAGGAATACGAAAATGTATATTTAAGGTATGATTCTTATTTGAAATCTGATTATAAAATGGTAATATTTAGAAGGGTTGCCACATTGCAAAGTTCAAAATCAATTTTAATAACAAGTCAAAAGAAATATCGGAATATTGAACCAAGTTAGGTACAAATCGATTAAGTGGTTACCGAGGTACACATTTGTAGTTATAATGTGGGCGGTGCCACGCCCAATTCCCAAAAGTCTATAGCTGTCTTATTTGTTGTTAGGATATTGTTGTAACTATTAACTTACTCCAAGTTAAGTGTCCTCAGTTATTGAAATATCAGGGTTTTCGTATTTCTGAAAGTTACCGTTATACGAGAAGCGGGTGTAATTTTAGTCCGATTTGAGCAATTTTCAACAAATTGCTTTTCCGTACAAAGGTTATTAAGTGCACCGAGTTTGGTAGAAATTTATAAATTGGTTACCGAGTTACACATTTGTGGTCATAAGAGGGCGGCGCCACGCCCATTATCCAAAACTTTATAATATTCTAGTTTTCTGCTAAGTGGTTATTGTAATCGTCGATTTTAAGTGAATTAGCTCCAGCAGTTACTGATTTATCGCAGTTTTCGGGTTTCTGTAAATTACCGTTATAAGGCAGGTAGGCGTGGTTATTGCCCGATTTCAAAGATTTTCAACAGATTTCTTAGTTAGACCCTACCCAAGGCTCGTGTTGAGTTTAGTAAGGTTTGGTGAAGCGGGGTCACGCCCATTTTCGAAAAATTTCATAATAATATTACTTTTTACCACAATTTTAATCCACGTACTAATTTTCAACAATTTGCATCTAATATTTACTGAAATATCGTAGTTTTTGCACGGTCAAATGGACGGACGGACGGACAGACAGGCATGGCTTAATCAATTTCTCTTTTCATTCTGAGCGGGAAACCGGACGTCGATTCTTTTAACCGAAAGTCCCTTTCAGAAAAAAAGGTCTATTTTTTCGGAAAGAGTTGCCACTTGTTAATAAATTTACTTCACATTATTTCATACATTAAATCAAATGGGTATCAATCGAAATGTTTTTGAGAAGGCTTTATTTCTTATCCACACGTGCCATGTGGATTTTACTACATATGTACGTGGGCCTTTTCCAAGATCATCAACTGCCATTTAATAGCCAAAAACTGTGACATGCGTAACTCAATTTGATCTTCAACACAAGAAAAATGATCTAACATGAGTGAGAGTGGATGTGAGCCGTTTTGAAGTTAAACGAATGGCCATCAATCTTGCATATAAATGATCGATAATTTCAAATGTGCGAATTTCGCTAATGACCTTGACTCTAAATTTAAATGTAATTTTGGTGTAACCCCCAGAGAAAATAATGCATAATGAATCTTAAACAAAATATGGGCTATCGGTCATGGTCATCATGCTGCCAAATATTGCGGACTAGAACAACAAAAACACGTCCCTCTTTAACCTATTAATGTGTCTGTTGTTGCCTATACATATTTATACATACATACATATGTATGTATGTACTATGGTTTTATATCTAACTTATTCTATATCATGTGTGGTTATGTATGTGTATTTATGAACTGCTTTCCTAAAATAGCGAACAGCATTATTTTAATGCTACATATGTATGTATGTATACAAAATTATATTTACATACCTATGTATACAAAGAGGCTACCAGCAACACCCACCTAATATTATGTAGTTTAATTATCAGAATCAGAAATAGAATTTCGATGTTTACATATAATTTCGAACGCCCTCAAAGTCGAAGGTATTCTGGAAGGTTAGTAANACATATGTATGTATGTACTATGGTTTTATATCTAACTTATTCTATATCATTTGTGGTTATGTATGTGTATTTATGAACTGCTTTCCTAAAATAGCGAACAGCATTATTTTAATGCTACATATGTATGAATGTATACAAAATTATATTTACATACCTATGTATACAAAGAGGCTACCAGCAACACCCACCTAATATTATGTAGTTTAATTGCTCAGAAATAGAATTTCGATGTTTACATATAATTTCGAACGCCCTCAAAGTCGAAGGTATTCTGGAAGGTTAGTAACCAAATATTGTTATATACATACATACATACCTACATACATATGTATGTACTACGCACATGTTGATGCAGTGAAAACTCTGCTGAGCAAAAGCTCTCCAGTCCACTCTGAATGCCTGTGATTCAAATCGAGGAATAGATACAGTGGCCAAAATTGAAATTAGGACTCGACATTTCAGTAAGTTTTGTAATTTTTATTATTAATTTTATGAAAGTAAGGCTCTTTTCCTAACAAAAACCATATAATACCAAATTTTCAATTTTGTGCAAAAAACTATGTATAAAAAATAATTCGACAATGTTTCTCCAAAATTTCAAACTTTAGAAATAAAATTTGGTTTGCAGTTTTGTAACTCATTAAAATTAATAAAAATAAAGTGCGAGTGGAAAGTGCTGCTCATTTGCTCTTCTTTCAAAAAAAAAGGTCGAACATATGTACATACTTTGTATGAAAAAAAAGTGTAACACTGTCAACAAAAAAAAAGTTGCCAAAATTAGTGGTAAGCCTTACCGACTTAAAATTTCGCTTTATTATACCAAAATTTAACGAATTTTTTTACAAAATTTTACGGGGTAAAAATTTCCTACGAATATGTGATGTTACTATAAGTATACTTTTGTTCTTTCAGGGAAAACAGTGTGCAAAAAATTTGCAAAATTATTTTTTGCCCCGTGTTCGGCTCTCATAAATATGTTCACCATAGGCATAGACCATTCCTTTACGGAGTCCATTTGAGCTCGTTCTTTCGTGACATAATGCGTCCAGTTAAAGCCGTCCTTTTGAAACCACTTGTTGTCCAAGTCTATGCCACATATTTCAGCCCATACAAAGTTTGTATTCATGCCGCGATAACCAAAGACAAACATTAACATGCCACGAATAATTGCTGCCAAAGATCTGCCTCACTCTCCAATAACCATAAAAATGGCTCGGTTTATTTGACGCCATTACGCCATTACAAGAAGGAATTAGCAAAAGAGTGGAATTGGGAGAGCAAAAATGCCAGCTCAGCATGCAAGTCTTACTGACTTAATTTTATTATTTGTTATTCGAATATGAAAACAAAAATTTATGTAATTCTACTTGATTTAACTTTCAATATTTGCCTGTTAAGATAGAAAAGCGACAGAAATATTTATTTGTTTTTGTGAAATGAGTTACTATCGCTTTGATAACTTCCAAT